ATGACAAGGACCTGCCCCAGAGCCAGCAGGGAGAGAAAACCTTCCCGGAGAGCCAGCACCCTGCATTTGGACTGCTAGCCCCTAAACAGTGAGAGAATACATGCCTGTTGAAGCCATCCACTGGTGGTACATCTGTGACAGGAGCACCAGGTAATGGAGACAGTGGACTTTAACACTATGCACGCACTAACGTTTAGTATCTGTGTATGCTGTATACGTAAGTACACACCTGTCGGATGCGCTGACCGGCAGCTTTGTTGACAGGGTGCATGAGTAGATTGTGGAATATCCCAAAAGACGTGAAAGCAGGGACTCAGATATGTGTATCAGTGTTCATAGCATACACCAGTCCTGACAGCCACAGGTGGAAACAACCCTAAAGTCCACCAACAGATGAGTGGTGGTATCTCCACTCGATGGAATATTCTTCACCCATTTAAAAGGAATGATGTTCTAATACATGCTATGACTTGGATGAACCTCCTGGGAGCTGTCCGCTCAAGGTATGTATGGTGGAGCCCAGGGCCTCAAAAGAGCTTTAGGTCACAAAGGTTCGGGAAACTTAGGAGTCCCTGGGTGGTGCTAATAAATAGTTAAGTGCTCTATGACTAACCTAAAGGCTTATGGTTCAAACCCACCCAGAGGTGCCTAGGAAGAAAGGCCTGGTAATCAGCCAAGAAAATTCCATGGAGCTCAGGTCTAATCTATGGAGCTCAGGTGTAATCCATGGAGCTCAGGTCTCTTCTGTAACATGTAAGACTGCCATGAACAGAAATAGACTCAACAGTCGTGGGGGTGGTTTGTGGCTTGGTTCTCAGACATTAGTGTTAGTCCTGAAGAGCCCTTTGATTAAAAAGAAAAAGGGAGGAGGGGCCCTAAAGAAGTGAGAGCCATGACAAGAACAGATATATGCACGCCCATGTTTATCACAGCACTATTTACAATAGCCAAAAGATGGAAACAACCTAGATGTCCATCAACTCAGGAATGGATAACCAAACTATGGTACATACACACAATGGAATACTATGCAACGCTAAAGAATAATGTAGAATCTGTAAAACACCGCATAACGTGGATGGACTTGGAGGACATTATGCTGAGTGAAATAAGTCAATCACAAAAGGACAAATATTGTATTAGTCCATTATTGTAAAAGTTAAGGAAAGGTTTATCTATTGAAGGAAATTTTTTTTGTTGGTTACCAGGGGTGGGAGGGGAGGGGAGGGAACGCTTTTAGTTAGATAGAGAGAAATATTGATTTGGGTGAAGAGAAGGGCAATGTACCAAATGAGAGTGACCAATATGGCAGCATTGAGGATGAGAAAGACATAGAGAGGTACATGGGAAGTACAGACAACAAATATGAACCCTTTTGCACATACAGTACTGACTTGTCAGTGAAGGCAAACATGGATGGATAGATAGGTGGACAGGCTAAACAATTAGGTATGTCTATGAAATGGGGAGTGTATCCAAGATCATATATAGGGTTGGCAGACAATGGTCCTATAAGTTTATGTGAATGATCAGAATTTCCAGGTGTATAGTAGAGCTGACAAGGGGCAACGTTGTGGTCACTGCTTGATCACAGCCAGCTACCCAGAAGGACCGAGTAGTTGAATCTGAGGGCTTGGGACCATAGTCGCAGGGGACATTAAGCTCAATTGGCAAAACATTCTATACAAAACATTGTTCCACCTCCTACTTTGGCGAGTAGCAACTGGGATCTTAAAAGCTAGCAAGCTGCCATTTAGATGCAATGATGGGTCTCTCCTAGACAAGAGCAAAGAAGAAAGAAGAAAACCAAAATTAATGGAAACAATCAGTCCTAGCGACTGGTACACCATCCAATCTGCAACCTATACAACTATGAGACCAGAAGAACTAGATGGTGCCCGGCTACCACTGTCATCCACTTGGAAGGGATGTAGGAGATCCTGGATAGAGAGGGAGAACAATGTGGAACAAAACTCAAAATCATTTGGAGGAAAAAAGAAAAAAGAAGGTGGGGACCAGGTTTGCTGATCCAATAGAGCCTGGTGGAACCACTGAGACTATGGCCCCTAGCTGCCCCGCAGGTCTGGAATTGAACCCATACCTGTGGTTTCCAGCCAAACAAAGTACAGGCATGTGAGTTAAGCATTTACCTCAAGTAGACACACGCCCTGGAGAGAACAATCATGGGAGAAGGAAGGGCTGCTTATGCACAGGGAGACAGCTCAGGGGGCAGGAGTGTATGGAGGGATGGACACTGGGAAGAGGTAACTATGGGGAGGAAGTGGGTGGGGAGCTGTTGCATTGTGGTAAACTGTGGTCAATGACATGAGACAAGTATATGTGAACTGCTGTATGGAAAGTGAATTTGCTCTGTAAATCTTCACCCAAATCACAATAAAAATAAATAAATAAATAAATAAATATAAAAAAAGGGAGGAGGGATAAAAAAGCCTGTTTCGCCCAGTGAGCAGCTAACCCACTTCCACATAGCCCACCACCACCACCTGAGGGGCTAAGGGGTCGCTGTGTGGGGAACGGCTGTCTCAGCTTTCTGGGGTTTCAGAAGGTGCTGTTTTCAGGGAGGAGAGGCTGAGGGGGAGGTGTTCATTCAACTGGAGTCTCTGATTGATTGCAAATAAGGAAAAGAGATAGTGCCCAAGAGCATATTACCCAATAAGCAAGGTAAGCATGGGCTCACTTGTGCTTACTGAGTACTCTGTAGTGGGGAGTTTCACATGTTTTTAACCACATGATGTGGAACTGTCCACTACGGGGTAGTCAGTAAGCACAAGTGAACCCATGTTTACCTTACTGACTGAGTCCTCCGTCTCTGTCAGGAATTGTAAATTTGAAGAGGCTTTGTTTCTGTAGGAAGGTGCCATGGGGTTGGGAGAGACAGATGCCAACCACACCTCGAAACAGAACCTGTGATGTGAAAACCTGTGAAATTGTTTACTACAGATTACTAAATAAGCACAAGTGAGCCCATGCTTTCCGGCTAATCCGACACTGAAGGTGCCCCCTGGCCATCCCAGGTTTGTGGTCAGCAGCCAGCCTGGTTCTCCCTCACTCCTCCTGCCGCTGGCGGCTGAGCAAACCCTACAGGCTGTGCTTCGCAAGCTGCGGCCGCTGGGAAAGGCATCCCCAGTCAGCGTTTTGCTGCTTTCTGTAGTCGTCCCAGTTGTGCCGGGGGCTGGATGTGTCCAGAGCCTGGCCTGGGCAGAGGTCACCTCTCCTCTCTGGGCCTTGGTGTCATCATCTCAGAGAGAAGGCACTGCTCTCGGTTCTAGGGTCCCTCAGATGTCTAAAATTCCACATCATGGACATACAGGCTACTTGAGCATTTTCTCATTTTAAGTTTTTTCTTTTTTTGCATCCTCCTTGTTACCTCCAGCCACCACAGGAAAACACGAAGCAGTGCTACCAGGAAGAGCCTGGCCTGGTTCTGTTATAGTCTGCACCATTTCCCGGCATCTGCTCAGCGACAAGGACTTTGTATTCTGAGGAGACACTCAATGACACCTGTGAGCTCACTGGGGCTCCAGAGCACCTTGCCAATATATGCCTGGACAGATGGACCAACGAGTGCCCTTCTTCTACACTTCCCACTTTCTTGCTGTTGTGTTTCTCTTCAGGAAAAGAAATTTTTTTCAAGACATGACAAAGTTCAAGAATCGAACACCACTGTCAATAATGTATACTAGCCTAACTTGTGCAGCTTGAAACAGACGATAAAACAGTAAGATCAAAGCCCATTATTAGGAGTTGACTTATGTCCCCCAAAAGGACACGCTGGAGTCCTAACCCAGTCACAGCATCTTGTGACTGTGCCCTTGTTTGGAAATAAGGTCTTTGAAGATGCTTTCAGTTCAATGTGGTCATACTGGGTAGGGTGGGTCCTAATCCCAGCTAAGTAGTGTCCTGTAAAAGAAGAGCAGAGACACAGGGAAGATGGCCGTGTGAAGGCCGAGGCAGAGACTGGAGAGATGCGTGTACAAGCCAAGCATCGCTGCTGCCACCAGGGACAGCAGGGAAGAATGAACATCCTCCCCCAGAGCCTCAGAAGGAACCAATGCCGCCGACCCCCTGACTTCAGGCTCGCAACCTCCAGACTGTGAGGGAATACATTTCTGTTCTCATAAGCCACCCAACCTGTGGGCCTTGGTGACGGCAGCCACCCAGCTATATAAACACGTGTCACAAGTAGCAGGAACCAGCTGACAACTCTACCAAAAGAGAAACAATTAAACATTTTATTTTTGAGAGACATGTCTTTAAATATTAGTACTCACTTCATCCCTCACTAAACAGCTCTCTGGTGATGCCCCTTGTCAATCTGTTACAAACATGGTGACTGTGTTCAACATAACTTGAGATATCTTTGGCATTTTCTTCCTGTAGCTTTATGACTTGGAGAACATCTTGTACAAAAAAATGTAGATTTACAGAAAAATAAGCATATAAATCACTTATTAATCCCAAAATGTAGTATATAGCATAGCAAAAACGTTATCAAATCTGGTTTGTACACACACTAAACAGGTCTGCTGTATACACGTTCTGCACGTGTCCACGGTGTAGGAATTGGTGGTTGGACGTTGAAAAGGCAGTTTACGAGAAGCCCTTCTTGTATGCCCATCTCTGACCAGTCTCCCCGTCACTACTTTTAAACTCCCTTGAATGAATACTCATGCCCCCAAGTCTTCATTTTTATAAAATCAGTTCTTTTAATGAAAAAGTCTACCGTAATCATGAGATAACATTCAAAACGTCACGTCGTCCGGAATCAAACAGGATGTTCCCTTTGATAAACACACGCCTAGAACGAGGGCTTCATGCACAACAGGAGAAACATGACAGTCAGTGTGAGAGGGTTTCGTCACATGCCAATTTCAAAGCCACCTCATGATCAGCAGAAACCAGAACATTTCTGTCTTTCAAGTGTGGCCATCCCAAGGGTCTCCCGGCAAGGTTCCAGCAGGATTCTTCCCAGGGCACCGTTAGGAAATCTTGCAGCTGTTCCTGGCACAGTGTTTGGTTGGGCTCTGGGGCGGCTGGCCAGCCTTGGCTTTCCGTAGACTCCTGCGGTGCGAGGAGCTGGTGGTCAGTGAATACGAGCGGCCATGCATCATCCTGGCATTGAGGCCATTGGCCATCGAGAAGGACTTGAGATGGCTTCTTAAGGCGACAGGGAGCGGGAGCTTGTCCACCAGGTGCACAGGTGTGCAGGATACAATGGCCCGGCAGCAGAGGTCCTGGAGGCTGAGCACTGGGGAAGAGAGAAGAGTGCTCACTTCCCTGCTATCACCACCGCCTGTCCACACCACCACCCATGAGGTGGCAGCCCCACACTCTGCTCTCCCTCTGTCCCCGAGGAACAGTTCCTCCATCAGTGGCCGTGAGGTATCCTATACTGCTCCCCCAGGCTGTGTGTGGAGCCCAGTGGTACTCCAGACAGAAGGTCCTTGGCTCCATCCCCTTAAATTCCAAGGCCCCAAACCTGACATGGCTGCTCACCCCCCACCCCTAAATCTGAGAGATGAGTTGGCTGGTGCAGCAGTGGCCAGGAAATCTGCCTCAGTTTGGACTTGGAGACTCTAAACGCACCTCCCCACTGAGTGCCTGACAGCAAAGCAGGAGGATCAGGTTCCTAAGTGCAAACTCAAGACATGTGGAAGGTACGTCTGTCCCCGTGTATTTTGTCTAAATCAGTCACTTCTCAGTGTGAATCCCCTCTCTGCCGCTGCCCTGTTTCCACCTGTGGCCCACAGGGTAAGCATGGGAACAGTAGTAACCTCTCACCCAAGACATCTCGGCTCCTGAAGGACTGGGAAAGACAAAGCCATGATCCACTGGGTTTGACCCATTTTAAAGCCAAGGGTTCCAATAACTAGTTCTACAAGAGTGGTTTTCAGTGAGGGGTGACTGTGACCCTGGGGGTCATTTGGTGAGACCTAGACACATTTTTGGTTATCACAATTTGGGGAGGTGCCTTTGGCATCTAGTAGGAAGAGACCAGGGATGCTGCTTCATGTCCTAAGCGCACAGGATCCCCCGACCAAGCTGTCAGCTAGAATGGCCATAGAGACGGGACACCCCCCAGTGGTCAGCCAATATGGCCACAGAGCTGGAGGTGACAGCCCCATTTGAGAAGAGTATTTGCTCAATCACTCCCATGCTACCCAACTCAATGACTATATATTTTGTCTCCTTTAGCTTTTACGAGTGATAAGCTGACAAGTGCTCCAAGGATAACAATGCCAGCTGCACTGTCTCATCCACAGAGCTGACACAGGTCTGGGTTCTGGATGGATTCACACTGTGCGCTATGAATGTCCTGCTCCAACGCCAAGTTCCGTCCCTCAAGCTCCTCTCTTTGTAAACAAAATTGGTTAAAAGTGAATAATGCAAGATGATGGACTCCCCTCAAATCCTCCACATGAAGAGACCGAGGCGGCCGCCCGAGCACCTCTCATGTGTTCGCCTCCAGGTGGCTCATCGGAGCAGGCCGTGGAGGACGCTCTGCTCCGGGGAGCCCTCCCTCTCGGCAGCACCGATGCAGGAAGCCCAGGCGAGGTTTCTGCAAGCCTTTCCTAACCCAAACTCACTGCCACCGGGTCGATTCTGACTCAGAGCAACCCTCGCTGGGTCTCCAAGGCTGTCGATCTTTATGGAAACAGACTGCCTCATCTTTCTCTCACGGAGTGGCTGGTGGGTTCAAACCACCGATCTTTTGGTTAGCAGCCAAGTGTCTTAACCACTGCACCACCAGAGCTCCTTTCATGAGCGTCTATTTCTCAGATGAAAGACTCTCTGAGGTTATTCTGGGAGGGCTACAGAATGATGTAACATCTGACGAATCTGGCCCTGGAGTGGCTTCCCCGATCCCCCCCTCGACCCACTCTCTCCTGGCTCACCCTCTCCAAGCCCCTT